GCACAACTGCTCTCGAGTCACACTAATGTTTGAACTCGTTGATCCTTAGGCACACCGCCTCCGTGCTCAGAGCTGTTTTCAAGGGTGACCGGTTCAAATATCAGCGCGCCACCCTTTTGCCTTGTTGTAATGACGGCATAAGACTTTTAAATTTGAACCGGTCACTTTTGTTGTTGATTAACACCACTGGCGGAGGGCGATTATCTAATGTTGTCCATGATTGTGCAGCTTATGATTGAATTTCCATTAGTGCTGCGGATCACGCCGGCTGCTTTGAGACTGGTTTTGCGATATTTTCAAGCAAAAATTATGACAACTACTCTACAAACCTGACTGTGTAATGGTAGCAGTTTAAACTGCATAACTACAAAGTTCTGCAGTTTTAGCTGCGCAAACTAAAATGTTATACAGGTAGGACTGTCAAACTAGCCTCGTGGAGTTGTGCAGTTGAAACTGCACTAAGGGCAGAACTACTCAGTTCTACAGTTTAAACAGGACAACTTTTTAGTATCGCAATTTAAACTGTAAGACTTTCGGTTTTGCAGTTTAAGCTGTAAAACTTCTAGTTTTGCAGTTAGATTTGCAGTGAATGTATTCTATGCCGTCTGACAATTTGCCACAACTTTTTGCGCTATTTTCTTCCTGCACTTTTTGTCGGAATTTAGTTTGCGATAGCGATTTTAAACACTACTCATTGCAAAAACTCTGTAAAAGTATCTCAAAACGCACTTTTACCGTGATACCACCGATATGTGGCAATGCATCAAACACCAACCAAATGCGTGTTAGTTAGGTCCCTGTTGTTGCTGGCCCCCAACATGTGTGGTTTGTGAAGCGGTCCCCTGGGGCGTGCTGCACGCCGTGCGGGTCTCGAGGAGGAGCCGGCCTGGGACTGTCGTCGGGACCCCCATTGCCATGTAAATGCACGCTCTGGGGCCTCTGGAGAGATGGCATCTGGACGCTTGACACGCACGCGCACACTCGCACTCACACATTGTCAAACTCCCTTCGCCGTGAACAAGCGGTCTTAAACCCATTCTAAAGCAAAAGATAATAAAATAATAATCTGTGCATGTTTGACACTGAGTATTTTCTAGCCGAAAACCCAAGTAAGTAGTATTTGCTGAATAATGCCTTTATCAGGACAAACTTCGGCACCTAGCTTTAACGGTATGCTATCTCGATTTAATTTGAGATCTCGGTAGAATCGAAATACGGCTAATCGATACGAATTGTCTCCGAAACTATACAGGCAGGTTTACGAGAAATTTTCCCATGACGTGTGTCGTGAAATAAAATAAAAATCTGAAAGTTGTTAATTAACGAACGCTTTCGTATCGACTTGGAATTGATCGACAATCAAGAATGGGCTGTCGCAAATTGAGAACATATTTTGTAAAATAAAAATTACAACAAAAATTGTAAATCTACGAGAGGGCATTTTTTCACAGTAAACAGCGTTATCCATTGAACTAGCGGAGGGGGTGACTGTCTTTACTTTGGTTTTAAAGACGATCTAGCGTGGCACCACTACGGGGGCGCGGAGGGGGCCCCAGGGCGATGACCCCCGGCGGGCATTCTCAGGCTGGGTACGGCCGGCCGGGTGGGGCG